AGCCTGGTTTGGACATGCGCTTGTATGATGAAGATGATTTGGATCGGTTAGAGCAGGTAAACACAATACCACATACCTCTCATGCGTGCTGGAAATTGACTGGAAATTTCCTATACAGTATCCAGTAATTGGGGTTATTTTCATAAAATCAAAAAAAAAAAATAATAACAGTGAACATTTACAGATTGCTTACACATTCCAGGTTCTATCCTCAGCATTTAACATAGTAATATTATTAAAGACATTGAATGCTTTTATTTAGCTATGGAAATTGATGCATAGAGAGGTTAAGCAGATGGTCCAGGGGTCTCCAGCCCACCAGGCCACTCCAGCACCTGTACAGATTACCTACAATGTGAGTCATTGTATTAAGAAAATCTGTACATTAAAATAAGTCAGCAATGAATAGGGACTACTCCCTAGCCTTCCAAATTCAAATCAGGAAACTGCATTTTGCTCCATAATCAAGTCTTTTTGTGCCATTGCCAAAATCATCAGGACAGATATGCTAGAAAATTTTTCATTTTGCATTTGCCATAAAAAGAGGAGTCAGCAAGATAGCTCAGAGGACTAAAGCAGCTGCTTAAGCAAGCATAGGCAAGCACAGGGACCATGGTTCGATCCCCAGCACCACATGCCTCACTAGTCCTTCCCCTCAGGATAGGGTGAGCTGGCCACAGAGTCTAGGCATGGTGGCTCACACTTGTAATCTCAGCGCTGGGGAGGCTTGTTTTGGTTACTCTCCTCTCATTGCTGGGACAAATAACCCAACACCCAAAATGAAGGAAGGAAAGGTTTATTTAGCTCACAGTTTCTAGAGGTTTTAATCTGCACTCCACTGGCTGCAAGGCAGAGTGGCATGTGGCACAGAGCAGCCTTTCATGGCAGCATCAAAGAGCAAGAGCAAAATGGAGAAGTAGCAGCAACAGTGGCTACAGAGAGCAAGTCTATCTGTCTCTCTTAGGTTACATTTAGGCTATCTGCCCCAGGCGAGGTGTAGCACTCACACCCATAATTCCAGCCTGGGATCATGACTTAGTCACAAACTGTAGAACTGCACCTCAGTGGTTGCATGAGGCTTTGTGGAGACAAATACACAGAAACCATAACAAGGCTGAAAACAGGAGGATCTCTATGAGTCTAAGGTGCGTCGTGAAACCCTGTAAACCCAAATACATTAAAAAAGAGAGAGATTATCATCAAAAGAAGGCAAATGGTACTAAATGAGAATAAGAAAATACTTCCCTTATCTCTGCTTAAATTGTATCATTTTGCTTCACTTTCTTTTTTTTTTTAAATATTTATTTATTTTTATTTATTACATTTATTTATTGTGTGTGTGTGTGGCCAGCTCAGCCCACCAGGGGGCGGGTCTGGCTGGCATGTGGTGCTGGGGATCGAACCGCGGTCCCCAAAGCTTGTTTCAAGTAGGTGCTTTAGACCACTGAGCCATCCCTCCAGCCCCTTGCTTCACTTTCTAATTATGAAAATCATATTACATTATGGTTTGTTCGTTGCAGATGGAAGATTCAGAAGGAACAGTGAGACAGATAGGTGCATTTTCTGAAGGCATCAACAATCTCACAGTAAGTTTCTACAATAAATTGAAAATGCCCCTTTAATATTTGTTAAAATAACCCCAGACGACTGCATTTATATGGAGACTGTGTAGTACTGAGCTCAGACTCAAGTGTGTGGTTTCCATCTCCTTGTTTTCCAGCACATGTTGAAGGAAGATGAAATGTTTAAAGATTTTGCTGCCCGTTCCCCCAGTGCCAGCATCACAGATGAAGACTCAAACGTGTGACTGTGGAACCTGCATAAGCACCCAGGATCTGTAGTCTTCTTTCCACTTTATTTTTCAAATACAGTGTGTACAGCAGGCAAGGAATTGTTTATTGTTCTAACTTCTATTTCTACAGGACTGAAAATGGAAATTGTGAAATATTCCTATTTAGAAGTTGTCACAAAAGAAATGAGACACTGGTAAAGAAAGTATAATTGTTTTTCCTCTATTTAATGTAAAAATCTGTGATATATTATATTTAAAGTATTGCATTTAAAATGAGTTTCTTAGGGTGTGGTGATGTGGTGGCACGCACCTATAATCCCAGCTCTTGGGAGGCTGAAAACAGGAGGATCACTATGAGTCAGATCTGTATAGTGAGAACCTGTAGACCCTGTACTAAATTTTAAAAAAAAAAAAAAAGGAGTGTTTTTACCCCAGTGTTTTCATCCACATCCCAAGTGTATGGAGGGTTTAAGAATAACTTTGTGACATCCACATTCACCACAGCCATTTGTGCTTTCTGTGCTCTTAAGACCAATATGTGGGATTTTTGTTATGCATTCAATGTGCCCACTAAGTGCCAGTCACACCTCCATTTGCCTCTTATTTTATACATTTTTCTAAATATACACACACACAGTACTCAGAAAATAAAAGCTTTGAGACATAAAGAAGATGATGAAAAGGTCACATCAAAAACAAAATGCCAGGGCTGGTGAGATGGCTCAGTGGTCTAAAGCACCTACTTAGAACAAGCTAAGCCAAGCAAAGCACAGGGACCTCGGTTCAATCCCCCAGCACCACATGCCAGCCCGCCCGCCCCCTGGTGGGCTGAGCTGGCCACACACTAAATAAATAAATAAATAAATAAATAAATAAATAAATAAATAACAAAATGCCCCCAGCTTCTAAATATCTATATACCAGCCAGATCCTAAAGAAAACAAACTGATACTTATTTCTCCACAGCTGAATTTTAAATGTTGGTCATTGAAATTAAGTTGACATATATAAAATGCTCTTTTTTTAATGACACCACAAAATTTTTGAACAGTTTAAATATTTAACAGTCTTAATTTTTGATCCACTTACCTTATAAGCAAGAATTTGAGGGTCATGAATACACTGTTAACTTGAATTCATTCATAGGTATTCATAAACCACAAAATTTTGTAAAAAAAAAAAAAAAAAAATTCTAAACACAATGCAAAACAAAAACCTTTTCAGTATTATTTTCCTCTTTGCCAAATACATCATTACATCATAATACTAATGGTCTACCTAAACTTGTTATAGGTATCTCAGGCTATCAGTGGGGCAGAATTCAAAAATTTTGAGACTATAAAATTAGTTTTATAATGCTATTTTTTATACACAGTGTTGCAAACACCAAAATATTCTTTATAAAGAACATAGAAAACTGAAGCAAAAACTGCTTCTGTGTTTAGCTTGGTGTTTTAGGAAAAGTCTGTTTTTCACTCACTACTACATAGTTGCTTGTGACATCCAACCATGCACAGCAGGTGTTCACAGACTGGAGCAGAGAGAGGTGGTTGGTTTGTGCCAGTTGGCTTGATTACAAACTGTATTTGAGTATCAATGGTATTTTTCATTATCAGGAAGTTATCAAGCTGTTCATCAAGGAACTTATAACACTCCATTATTGTATATTCATCACTAAAATGATTTCATGCTAACAGAAGTTTCTTTGAACTTTATTACTTATTATTTGGTAATTGTATTAAACTTGGCCTGTATTTGGATTTTATTTTAATGTGAATTTATGTCACCACTTGAAAAACCCAAATTTGTTATTAGGACCTGATTCAAAATACCATAAGACTGTTACAGATACCAAATATTCTTCATTCAGGACAATATAATATAACTGATGATAGGTGATATGGTTAAGAAATAGTTTGATGATATATTTTATTTACAAAATATATGCTGCTGGTAATGCCATATGAGAGGAAATAAAGTCAATTAATAATTGACTCATGTTTTTATTGTCATTATTTAATTTTGCCTTGTTCAAAATAACAAATAATAGGAGCCTGAGTTCAATCCCTGGTTCCGGAAAAAAAAAAAAATTGCACAAAATAACAAATAGGGCCAGATGTGGTGGCACAAGCCTATAAATCCCAGCCAGCATTCATGAGGCTGAGTCAGTAGGATCACCATGAGTTCAAAGCCAACCTGGGCTACACAGTGAGTTCAAGGTCGGTCTAAAATTATAAAGTGATAAAAAATAAATAAATAAATAAATAAATAAATAAAATTAAAAAAAATAAAATTATAAAGTGAGACGTGTCAAAAATAAAAATTGGAACCGGGGAGATGGCTCAGTGGAATAAGTGCTTCCCTGGCAAGCTCAAGGGTCTGAGTTCAATCCCCGGTTCCGCAAAAAAAATAAATAAATAAATAAAAATAAAAATACAAACTGTAGTTTTGAAACTATAACTTCTGGAGTAGAATTCATAAATGTATCAATAGAAATTTGAGGTCTTTGAGAAACGTGTATGAAAGAAAATATGCAACAGAGCTAAGAAATGAGAAGTTATTACAGGACATAGAAAAAGCAAATGGAAATGACTTACTTTTAAATTTAAAGTTAATTGTAAAAAGAAGTATATGGCACCAGCCCTGCGAGGCTGAAGCAGTAGAATCAAAAGTTCAAGTATTGCCTTGGAGACTTAGTGAGACCTTCTCTCAAAATAAGCAGGACTGGTTTGTAAAGGCCCTTGATTCAGTCCCAAATACTAAAAAAGAAAAGGAGGAAGGACAGAAGGTAGGAAAAGCTGTTCCTGGTAGCCTCTACTTCTATAACCCCAACACTAGTAGAATGAGGCAGGAAGGTTGCAAAGTCAAGCCAAGACTGACAGTTTAGCAACTTAGCAAGACTCTATATCAAAATTTTAAATGAACCTAAAAAATGTTTGGGGATGTAGTTCAGTGTGAAGGCCCTGGCTGATCCAATCCCTAGTGCCACACAAAAACAAAAAGTGAAGTGAGTGTAACCTAGTGAATAATACCTGCTTGCTTTACATGGAATTTACTGTCTGTAACTTAATAAAGCAGCAGGAATCCCTGTGAATACAACACTCCCAAATGACAAATAGGGAGCCTCAAATGTTTGTTTAGCTGTATGTCTATATGCTTAGCTATCCAAAGAAAGCTGTACAGGTAAGAAAACTGACCATTTTAACAGATATGACTTCACTGCAGAAGTTCGCTCTGAAAGGCAAGCCATTCTGAACAACGATCATATGCTTGACATTTGGGAACAGTGACTGAGTGCAGAAAAAAAAAAAAAAAATGGGGCAAAAAACATCACAACACTTGGCTGTGAAGAACAACGAAGAGGTTCTGAGTGTCTGTGAAGTGGCCAGTGAAGCTATAGTTCATGCAGCTCAAAAACTGAAGGAGTATCTTGGATTTGAGTATCCTCTGAGTAAGCTCTGCCTGACTGCAAATACTCTGAATGAGATCTTCTTAATCCACTTCATCACTTTCTGCCAAAAAAAAGGAATTGATGAGTGGCTTACTACCACCAAGATGACCAAACACCAAGCCTTACTATTTGGAGCAGACTGGATTTGGACCTTTTGGGGAACTGATAAGCAAATAAAGCTTCAGCTTGCAGTACAGACTCTACAGATGACTTCTGTTCCTCTGATGGAGCCAAAGCCTTGTGACCTCTACAATCCACAGTCAAGGACAGAAGAGTCTTCTTGGAAGAAAAGTAGATTCGATAAGCTGGAAGAATTCTGTAACTTGATAGGAGAAGACTGTCTGGGCCTGTTTATCATCTTTGGTGTGCCAGAAAAACCTAAAGATGTCAGAGGAGTAATCCTAGATAGTGTCAAAAGTGAAATGCTGAGGAGCCATCTGCCAGGACAGCAGGCAGTGAAACAATTTGTCCTGGAAACTCCAGAGTGTGTCTCCATCAGAGAGCTGCTTGGAAACTGTCTGAGTAAGGATGGACTGAGAGAGGTGGGCAAGGTTTACATTAGCATCCTCTGAACTGGGTATATGTGATATGAATGACCTGTAAGGTAAAAAGAAAAGTTTACTTTCATGGGCAAAATCGTCTACTTACATCATTGACTAAAAGTGATTATTTGAGACAAAGCATGTTATTGTCACAATTATGAAGACAAAAACTGGCCATGTTTCAGAAAAACTTATGATTTAGTTGGATCTGTATTCATTATTCAGTAAGAAAAATTGAAAGAGGATAATAAAGTCATGCAAAAAGTTTGATTTACAAAACAGAATGCATCTTTGTTTTAAATACTAAATCTAGATTTCTGACTGTATAATTATACTTTATATAAATCAGGATAAAATCTGGATCTTTTCTTTTTTTATTTAATTTTTTTGCCATAATTTTATTGATAAACAAATAGCAATGAGACAGTTTCAAATCAAATTGGTAGGACAGTTTCAATAATTAACACACTGCA